GCATCTCACAAAACACTGTCCAATTCCTTCAAATGTTCAAATATGGTAAACTTATACTGATTGTTTGTTCAATAAAAAACAACAACAAAAAAAATTCTCTTTAACTGTTGTTATGTGATTAATATTTTGGTCTGTCACAACAACTTTTGCTCTTGTAACCTTATTAATTGTGCAACAGATTGGAACGCTGTTGCAAGATATTGTAGTCTTTCACTCCAAACAATTGGAGGAAAAATTACAATGGCTCTGTTTTGCTTGCTTTTTTGGAAAACTACAGCTTGACATTCTTTCAGTGAACAGTGGTTCTGCTTCAAGTAAAATCCATACACTATGAGACAAAGCAGGACATGCTTTGGGGTAAGGTTAGGTTTTTGATTAGAGTGGCTGAGTTTTCTTTGTCAAGTGACAAAGGAATGAAAAATGATCATGAACATTTTGGACCTCAGACATATCTATTTTTGTTTTTAGTGAAAATACATTTCTACTTATAAAACAGTTATTTTCTCAATTTAAGAAACACCTAAAATACATCAACTTACACTACTTTTTACCGTATTTAGTGCTTTTGTTGAAAAAGATGATGTAATTTTATACAGAATTTCATTCAGACTATTTTTTGCCTGACTGTTACCTGACAGCAGCAGAACTGTACAAATGATGATGATGAGGAGGAGGAGAGAGGGAAAAACAAAGCAGCAAGATTACTCTGTGATGAGACTGATGAGGATTAGATGTTGCAAACCAATTTTCAAGCTGGGATCTGGAGGAACACTGTCGCAGAAATGCTCACACACATATATACACAATATCCTAATGTATATTAATATGATTAATATTACAATCACTTAAATTATTCAACAAGCAAAACTAATAGCTTTCACATTCTGGATACTAGTTTTATATTCCTTTTTCCTTAGTTTATACTGAGACAATGAGTGAGTGAGTGAGTGAGTGAGTGAGTGAGTGAGTGAGTGAGTGAGTGAGTGAGTGAGTGAATTATACTTTCTAGATGGAGCATTATTGGATAGACTAGCAGTCACTACCTGATGTCACATAAACACACATCTAAAACAGGATACAACCTGCTCTTATTTAATGTTTTTCCTCCAAATGTGAAGTTCCACCAGGGGGCGCTTTAAGCAAAGCTTCACTAGAGCTGCATCCAAGGACAAGTTTCCACTTTTGTCTAGTTTGTGTTGCGGTTCTGTACAACTTAGTTTAATTCCTTTGAATATATAGATGTATGTTTTTTTATTTTATTTTATTTTATGCACATTTAAGGTTTTACGTAATAATAATTAATTGTAGCTTGTCCCCAGAATCTGGGTTAACAAAGGTTTCATGAGAGGTTTCAGACAACTAGTCTCAAATGATGGTGTTTGATATGCGATTCAGGATTTAGCCAGTGTCATTTAGATCCTATCTGCATCACAGATTACGCAAGAGCTATCGCCAAGCAGCACCAGGGGGCTGCAATTATTTTGGCGACTTCTTTCACAAAAACCTTTTTGAAGCAATCTACTGTTATTTATTTTGCAGATTACAGAGGGACGCCTAAAGAGAAATGGAAATTGGTAAAACTGAGTTGAAAGGCCACCTCAGAACCAAGAGATTCTTTATCTCTCCTGTATTTGGCCCAGTTAGAGAGTGAATGCCCTTATTTCTGACTTAGTATTAAACCATTGAATGATTTTTGTAGCCAAACACAAGTAGACTCTACTAAATGGGTGATCTAAGAAGACTATTTAATACTGTATTTTTTTTTTTTAAGAGTATCACAACAGAATTTTATCGAGCTACTTTGTGCTGATCTGTCAACATGAATTCCCAAAGAATACAAGAACATTTGTGGTGGTAATGAAACACAATTTAAAAAGATTAAAGGAATATGAATGCCTTATTTGTCAATGTGATAAGCAGAAGGTTGAAAGATCACCGATACAGCCAGCCAAAATTAGTTTCCTCCTCAGGTCTCACCCCTAGAGATAGGACGAGAAATTCAGGCATCTGAGAGGGGCTCAGAGAAGAGCTGCTGCTCCTCCTTGTCAAGAGCCAGTTGAGGTGCTGAGATGCTTCCTCTACACCTCCCATGGTGTTCTGGGCCCGCCCCACCGGGAGGAGATCCATAGAAAGACCCAGGACACGTTGGAGGGACTATACTTCTTGGCCAGCATGGAAAAGCCTTGGGATTCCCGTGGAGGAGCTGATCCAAGTGGCTGGAGAGAGGGAGATCTGAATCTCTCTGCTTTGACTGCAGTGACCTGATCACAGGTTAAGTGGGAGACAATGAATGAATGGATGGATGATTGTAGTTGGACATGACCCAGCTGAAGAGGAAACTGCAGATTGAAATCAAGCGATTTAATAAAATAAAGAACTTACAGAAACATAGACGGCAGGACATGGAACACTGAAGCATGAAACAAGGTAACAGAAAGATCCAATATCAAACAAAAACCCAAGAGCCGGAATACTGAAGAGAGGCAGAATCGACAAAGTAAACCACAAGAACAAAGCAGAGACAGAATGCAGGCAGAGGAAAATCAAGGGACAGAAAACAGCTGTACAAGGGAGCAAATTGGCAAGAGGGAAGGTGAATAATAAACACTGGAGAACAGAGACTAAAGCAAACTACAAATCAGGGGTAAAAGAATAACATAAATCTAACAAATGAAAATTCAAATGTATAACTACAAGGTGCAAGAATAAAAGAAAAAACTGAACAGAATATACTGATAAACTGATATAAATGAACAAGAAAATAATCAAAATTCAAACACAGAGGAAAATCAAAACCCAGACAGAAAGCAAGTTTTACAGCAACTATTCTCTAACACAGAAGGGCTGAAGAAATATACCTTACATGCTGTTAATATAACTTCTTAATTGATGTTTTTAAAGAGAATTTTATAAAATCAGAACCATCACTAAAACAGAGATTGCAAATTGGAAATCAAGTCAACGTTCTGAGAGCATCACCATGAATACAATTTCTAGTTGTTGTTTTGCTACAGATCTGTTTTATGTATGTGAAAAAGACACACGCATGTTTAGAAACCTTTGAATTTTTTTCTCAACTGTATATCTATGTTTGACATTATCATATCTACATGAAATAAAGCTTTTTTGAAAAATACAACTTAAACATGAACTTGCTCACAGCACACACTTGGAACTTCATGCTATGAGATCAACGCATTTGTGGAAATGACAATGCAGGAAATAATGACTAATATCTAACAGAGATATCTGAAGGATACAGATAGGAGGTTACAGAATGTCCCAATCTGTTACTAAAATGCCATTGAGGTAGTGCAGGCATTTGAGTGTGCATAGTGTCTAGGCATGCCAGAGAGTTTATGACAGTCTCATCACACATGGCTAATCATGTAGAACAATGAGAACAGAGGCATGAAAAAGAGGGTGGAGAAGTGTGTTCTGGCCTTGAAAATCTGATATTGCTTTGGATGCATTTTTTTGTTTGTTTAAAAACAACACACACATCACGCAGCCTGTAGCCAGCTCTTAAATGCATTAGCCTCCATGGATGGATCACTTGGCAAAGTGCATTGTGCATGCTTTTGTGAATTCCTGCAATCTTCTCCGCACGTCCTTGAAACAGACAAAGCCACCATTTTGCCCTTTGCAAGGGTTTATACATACTGTGTGTCTTGGCAGTTTGGTAGCTTGCCAATATGAAGAAGATTTTTCAGAGGAAACAGATGAATGGCAGACAATATGCTGACTGTGCAAGAATAAGAAAAATCTCTCTGCCCTATGATTTATCCTCACATTTTGAGAAGCATTGGGTCCCAGCAACTGAGCAGAAAAAAAATATGAATTGGCTTCAAAATATTATAGGTGTGAGAAATCGGCATACGTCTAAAAAAAAAAAAAAAAAAAAAAAGTTTTGTAGTCTTATCTTTCCTAAGATAGCTGACACACGCCAATTTTGAAATAGCTAGCATATACACTTAAAAGCTAACCTAAAGCCAGCTACACTGGAACATAGCTAATCAATCACAATATAATTTAGACCAACACTAGTTGAAATTAAACAAGGAATGAAATCATGTGGAAAAACACGTCCTGCCCGCTGAGGTGAATGAAACATGTGATGTTGTGGGTCTTTTTTTTTTACAAATTCCCAGGGAACATTTGAAATACCAAAATACAAATCTAGTGGACTCTACCAGAATCTTGAAAATGAGTCACCTCTAGGTCTTTATCAGGAACATCATAAAAACAAACAAACAAAAAAAAAAAACAATACAGACACCAAATTAACCTTCTCTCATTCCATTTCAATGGGAAACCTGTAGATAAGCTGAAGGCAACAGAGGACCCATGCCTGTGGTCGATTGTTCAGAGGAACAGTTAAAGATCCTGCTCTCTGTATTCTCCAATCTTGTGACTATGTGCTAATCTAATGAAAAAAAAAAAAAAGGGGGGGGGCTGCACAAAAGCCAATGGGTTCAGATTATGCTGAGGCAATGAAAGATTAACTTATTCTCCGGTATTTTACACATCTTTATAAGTGGCGACAACTGTTCTGTATTGTCACTGTCAAAGGCCAATATTTTATAGAGCACATCTTAAATACTCAGCTTAAAAAAAAAAAAAAGAACTTGTTGAATTTATTAGTCTGGGTTGAAACTGTATAATGCCTAAATATGTGTCACACTGAAATTATGCACTGCTAATATTCATGGTTTCTTAGGATCTGCAGGTTAGATTCCCCTGATAAGCAGACAATAAAAGTAATTCTTTTTGACAGCTGTCAAATTCTGGTACAGTCAGCTAAGCAGACCAGACTGACCGTTTCATAAGCACATACGTAAAGCGTGCAAGCTTCTACTAAGCATAAAAGCTCTGACCTTAACACTTCCCACACACCAGCAAAGGATGAGAGACTTCGGAGCACGAATAAATTATTCACGATTTTATAACTCTAGGAGTCTACCTCATTCTAATTCAAAAGGAAGATGTCACAAGACCAGTTAGGTTGTCATTGAATATTTTATTTGCAAATGAAAGAGTAATAACTCAGAAGTCGTAAAAATATACATTTTTTTTACTCGTGATATTTACAAGGATTGTTTTCATCAAATGAACAAAGCAAAAAAAAAAAAAATCCCTTATTATTTTAGAAAACTAAAATGAAAATGCACATCAGAAAACAGATGAGAGTAAACAAAAGTGTTTTACATTTCCCTTTAGTCGAGCCATGCTGAGCCTGTCTGCCCCTGACACTGAAACAATGCAGTCAAGAGGAAACAGCCGACCACACAGAATCAACACACACCGGTGATGAGCATAGCACACTGAAAAGTGCAAAGTACATGGATGAACATTTGAAAACCCCCCCAAAAAACAAACAAACAAAAGAAGACAAAAGTAAAGCTTCAAAAATCAATTGGTGTTGATATATTTACAATTTTTGATTTTTTTTTTTTGATTACTTTTAGTTGATTACAGTTATGTTACATCAAAGCAAAGCATTCCCGTTCATCTGCTCAATCTTATGACATGCAGGTACCTCTTACAATCTCTCTTTGACTTCCTGGAGGTTGAACCGAGCGTTGTTCATCTCCACTCTTAAAATGCAATAATACATCACATTCTCTTATACTGACAGACGAGGCCAAACCACAGATTGCCCTGCTCAATAGCTTTAATCAGAAATAAAACGCGACTAATAGAACATAAAACACTCTAGCTACATGAGATTCATTCTCCCATCACATACCGCAGGATAACCATTAACCATTAAACTGCACCTTTGAGTGTTGGTAAGACAATGTGCGGTGCTGCTGACTGATAATATTGCACGTGGAGCCGACGCGCTGAGCTGTGGGGCGTGTTAAGACTTTTTCCCTCCTGCGCACACTGAACTGACAAAAAGCGACTTAAAATTCATTTGTTGGAAAAAGAGCGAGTTTGTTGGGTCACAAAGAAGTGTGCAGCGCGAGGGCTCATAAACTGGGGAATCTGCCACCTGAGACTTGCCGACGCTGGAAAGCAAATCAGAAAAGCTTGGAGGAATTTAAAGCTGGAAGACTTGATTCCCATCCTCCACCACCACTGCTGCTACTTTCATCTGTGGAGGAGGGAATTTCAATGACAAGAGCCCACAGCCCTGGCTCAGAACCAATCCTGTTATAACTCTCTTGTTTCCCGGTACCACTCTTGTAAATTCCCAAGCTGGGGGGAAAAAATCTTTCAGCATATGCCATCGAGATCTTTAAGATGCATAGCAGTGTCTGTTTTAGCGAGTGCTTCCAAGTGCGTGTGTGTGTGTGTGTGTGTGTGTGTGTGTTTTCTTACTGTATCTTTTTTTTTTTTTATGTAAGTGTGTGCACATGTCCTCTGAGTGATGCCACGTCCCATTCTGTGCCGCATTTAGTATCCGGGCTCCATCAGTCAGCCGTAATACCTCCAGACATTCGATCCGTCAAATTGATTCTGAAGGAGCAGAAATAACATGGAATGCTTGTTTGGGCTTTTGTTTGTGCAAAGGGTGTCAGTTTCTGTGAGGTGTGCTTGCGTGTGCACACAACTGCATTGTCATATGCATCTCGCATACGATATGTGCACCTGTTGATGTGTACGTATATACAACTTGTAACTATGTGTGTCTGTTTGGTGAGATGCCACCCCGACAACCTGGGCAAAGTGCATTCTGCACAGAGACAGCAGGAGCGTACCAGTCCCCTCCAGAGCTGAGGAAAGTTATGAATTATGAACGCTCTTTGTCTCGAGACGCCACCCCCACAAGCAAAAACATGACTGCTGCCTGTGAAGCAAAGTTCAGTAGGCATATGAAACTAAGCAAAAGCTAAAATCAACACTGCCGGTCTTCAGTCATGTACATTTAAACAGAGGTTTCCTTGCTTGACTGCATCCTTCGCCCTCATTGAATGGGTAACATCAGAGTGTGTGGGTGTGGCCCAAGGGCAAATACTGAATTTACATGCATACACCCACGCATACATGTTCACGCACAATTACAAGTGTATTCGCAGACATGCCAGTACGCACGCTCAAAACTGCTCTATTACAAACATAGAGTTAGCCTCCTTGGTCGAACACGACACGCTGCTTTTAGTGAAACAATACAAGAAAAAAAAATAATAATAAAAATCCCAATTACCTCTGTGGTCAAGTCATGTGTGAAATCCAATGTGTGAAATCAAACAACACATCCTTTCCTGGCAGATGTTGCAGATTTAGACTTGAAATATAACCAAATTTGCTCTAATGATGCAGAGCCACGGATGATGGGAGTTCTAGACTGTCAAATAGCAAAATAGGACACAGTGGCTCTAATAGCTACCCTGGTAAAAAGAAAAAAAGAAAAATGTAGAAAAATAGGACAAAGATAAATGTAGGTCTTCCTTTAGCTTTGTTTTTTTTTTTTTTTTTTTTTTTTTTACAATCCTGGTCATTTGAAATGTTTAAATTATTTCTCTGACTACAAATGTGAGCAAGATAAGACTAGACTAGACATTTTCCAAAGGTTGAGAAACCACAATGGTATTGGTGTGTAATCAGTAAAAGGTTGCACACTTTGTATACTGAAAGTTCACCTTTCAGAATTAAAGTTTAATTGTATGTTGAAAGGGCTGGAAGATTATGTCTGGATGGAAATAATTTTTCAAATGTAGTAAAATAAATTATGTTAAAATTATATTTGGATTTGTGCAGCAATGAAAATAATCTCCTTTGTGAACACCTTCTACATGTACTTGCCAAGGTTATTGAGAATAAATGCACAAGAAATTAGTAAAAAAAAATAATTATATATTTATACATAATAAAACACGTTATTGATATGTTAAGGTCAATGTTCCTTTTTTATAACAAGATGACATTTTATCTCAATAATTAAATTGTACTTTCAAAGCAAAGTTTAACTGTCACTAACTCATGTCATGTTTGAACACACTGGTGGTCTTGAAAACTTGTCCAAGTGTCTATAGATATATAGTTTGTTTTTTCAGAAACAGAAAATATATAGTAAGTTGGAAGTGGTCATAGTGGATCTTGTCTTGTACACATCCACACATACTGTCATATAAAATGTTTGTTTCACATTAGGGTCACTGACAATATCATTGTCATTTGTAACTTCAGAAAAAAAGAAAAAAACAGACAGTTTGACTTCACTTTGGATTTCTCACTTGGCATTATTTTGTGAGGAAACATTTTCCTGACATACCCTTATTTTTAAGTTGAACTGACATCATGTGTGTATAAGCTATCTGTATGTACAATATAAAACAAGACTGATTACAGAATGTACAGTAAATAGTCTTGTGGCATGGGATTGCTTTCTCACCACTCACTCTGCTTGGTGCTTCTTCGGCTGCATCCGTTTCTGGGGCAGTTCTTGTGACATCGAGTGCTTCCCGCTGGTGACCCTCAAAGTTTCATGTGAACAGAGACTTAACCGCTGGTACACTGAAGATAAGGACCAAGGGAGAGGGGTGGTGAGGGGCTTAGAAAAGAGAAAAGAAAACATCTAAAGGGAGAGGGATTGCAAAGGCACACTAGATAGGCTACTTGCCCCTTTTTCAGCTACTTTCAGTCAAACTGCACTTTGTCTCTCAGAGGATACAACAAATAGGTTTCTTGCTGACAATAAGCATTAACCAAGCAAGTGATTGGGCGAAACAACAATCAAGTGCCACACTGCTGTTACGGATCCAAGGAGAGTGTTGGATTTATCTGAAGTCACACTCCTTGTTCCCCATCTTTAGACAAGCTAAAGTAAAATTTGAAAGTCATGTGCCTTAGTTTGATATTGTACCCTGAAGGAGGCTGAAAATAATGGACTCCACCATCTTTGTACACATTCATCTCAACGAATTTTGGCTTCAGTTCAGAAATGTAGCTGGTAAACAAAAAGAAAATAATAATAATACTAATAAAAAAAATACCAATCATAACCCATCCTGGGGCATTGGTGGCACTTCTTAAAATGAGGGACTGGACACATGGCTGCCTTTGACATTTTGTAACCCGCACAGGAAAACGAGACAAAAGGAAACAGAGACGAAACCAAACAAAGATCCTAGCTGTTCTAATAGATGCTTACCTCTATGTTTAAAGAATCGCTATAGGCCTAATAAATGCTACTAAAGTACTTAGGAGAATATTTGGTAGCAGTACAGGAGTTTAACAATGTAGATGTGGGAGGAACGATAAGTCCATTGATTTGACTGTCAATGCTACATCCTTGCTCCTGAAGTCCCTCCTGCCCCGTATGCCAGTCGAACAGTGAAGCAGATGAGGCGTTCACGAGCCAGCTGAGTCAGTCTGTGGTTTCTCACAGGTTCCTCTGCGAGAGCACAAAAGACCGAAAGCAACGAGGCGGATGATGCACACGCTGCGCACCGTGTCTGTCCACATGGATGGGCAAAATCGGCCAGGCCCATGGGGGGAGGCAAAGCGGTTTGTGGTTTTAGAGCAAGTAGTTGGAAGCAGCCAGACAGAGGTGAAGAGTGATATGAATCAGAGAATCACCCCCTCCTCCCTGGTCTCCAACTTTACAAAAACAAAAAACACCCAGCTTCCCAGACAGTCTCCCACTTTTCCCCTCTTTTCCGCCCTACTTATATTCATCTTGTTTAACTGATGGTGAATGTAAGTATGTTTTTAGTTTCCTTTTCTCACTCCGACTGCATGCCTAAGCCTTTGATTTGATAAATAAATAAAGCTCTTCAAGGGGGCGCCTTCCACCTCAATGCACATGGTGCTTCTCTGTGCCATCTGAAGCAAAAAGAAGAAATGCAGCAAAAAAGTTCTACCTTCAGCCATGGGATCGTTTTGCATCTCAGGTTTCAGTTTTTTTTTTTTTGTTGTTGTTTTTTTTAAATCAGTAGGGGCAAGCATGTCTTATATTTTACCCTTTAAGTTATGCATTCATTAAAAGTACTTTTGGAATTATAGTATTGATTTTTTTTTATTACATCCTTTAAACTAGTTGCATTTCTTTGTTTATGGAAGAGTCTCAGTCTTTGGGAGAGGGTTATGGGGCCTCAGGGAGGGGTCGGAGTCTTACATGGCTGCAGGAAAGGGCGTGGCTTTCAGTCCTACACAGTCTGAAAGGCCTTGGTCTGGGCTGGGACCATGAGAGTCGGGGGTGTGGGTCCAGACATGTTCCTGGAGTTGAATTTTGGAGTGACAGGGGGCTCAGGGGTTTTGGGGGGCACCACTGTGGTGTAAGCTGGAGGGGACTGGGGGAAGCCTGGAGGCTGTCCATTTTCCTTGAGAGCTGCCACTGCAGGTGGACGTGGACGGTGGCCACGTTGGGTGCTGTTGTGCACCATTGATTGGGTGGAGGAGGCGCCGGAGCGTGAACTGCCAGAGCGGGACGAGGATAGCGAGTTTGGCTTCACCAATTTGGCCTTGGGAGCCTCAGCGTCTTCCCTACATGTTGGGGAAACACAGCGCATAAGGACAACAATATTTATTTGATATAAAAAAGCAACTCTTGAAACAGAGAAGAGAATCCTAACACAATAACAGCACAGCAGAGTGTCCCTGCATTACACTATTCCAAGGTCTAAAGCACTGGGGACTTGTAGTTTGCCAGAGCTTCATGTAATTCATGAGATACCCCCTAGCCTTAGAGTTTTCTGAAGCAAATTTGCATGGAATAATGAATTCTGCTAGAATCACTGGTTCCCCAGATGCAACTGTTGAAGAAGAAAAAAAAGGCACTGAAAATACAATGAAAACCATCCCAAATAAATCAACTTCTACTTGAGTTCTAATATGACATGATAAAAGTCTCAGAAAAATGGTACCTGGCTGCCCTGATGTTATTAAGGATGACTGACTCAAAGCAATAATCCTTGTTTTGGTTTCAATTTCAAAAGCAACCTATTATTAGAAAGGGTGTTAAACATACAGGAAGTTTGTGAGCAAGTTCTTGGTCTATACACAAAGTCTGATGATGCTTATGAACATACAGAGTCAGAAATGCACATTTTAGGTTGAGATATATTCTAATGCAGCCAAAATTATTATTATTATTATTATTATTATTATTATTATTATTATTATTATTAACAAGAAAATGGAATGGATAACGTTTGAAGATTTATCCATTACAAATTCATACAAAAATATCCACGCAACTCCATGCAGAGAACAAGGTTCACGTGAACAGTGTAAACAGTTCCAGAAAACTAAAAAAGTGTTTTTTTTTCTAAGCAAAAATGAAAGTAAGTGGCAAATTCAAGCTTGAAAGCTTGATTCTTTCATAAATCGGTGTAAAGATTTCTGCATTAGGACAGCAAAATTTTCAGCTGATGTTGAGAGGAGCATAAGACCTACAAGCTAGGCAATGCAGTGGCATGTGATCCTGAGCATGAACAGCTGCTTCACACTATGACAGTATTTATTTTCAAACATTTTGTGTCCCGAATTTTAGTGAGTTATAGTTTTAATAGTAAAAACGATTGGAAAAAAAAAAAGAGGCAAACGACAAGAATATGATTGAACCTGATCTCATTTGGGGTCTCCTCCTCTTCGTACTTCTTTTTTTCTTTCTTCCAGAAGACGAGCCAGATGATTATTATGACAATGAGGACGCCGAGGGATATTCCCGCCACTATTCCCGCTACCGTCCCAACATCCCTCACATCTGTGGATGAAAGAAGAGGAAGAAAGCGATTAGAGATATATTCTGCTTTTCTCTCTGGTAAAATACTATTCCATTTTCCCTGATAGTCTTCCATTTATTAATAATCATTTTACATGCACGTTCACCAGAAAAAGACTCACTTCTCTCTTTTGAGTCCCTCCATCCATATTTAATTTAACACCAAAGACTAAAAAACATTTATGCTGAGCTGCTGGATCTGTCGTTTTTTTTTTTTTTTTTTTTTTACTATCCCCCCCATACATGACCCTGTCAGGAGACTCTCGAGGAAAGCATCATTTTGACAGTGAAACATGGCATTTAAAACAGAGGGGCCATCGCCATGGGTTTACTGCATTCGATAGGAGGGTAAAGGGGAGTAGAGGCAGGGTGAAGAATAAATGTATTTGCAGCTGTAGTTTAAAACAATAACCATCAATCAGTGTGGCAGTTTGGTGTGAGGTGAAGACTGCGAGGTCGAGTTCCCCTCCACAACTCACGCTGCATCGTGACCTCAATGGTGCAGTTTTCCTCTCCCACGTCGTTGCTCGCTGTACACCTGTAGACACCTGTGCTGTCCATGGTAAGATTCCTCAAGGTGACAATCTCTGGGTTCTTCAGATCTGTCCCCAAAAACATAAGATGCCATTTATGAAAAAAGAGGCCTGAAATATATTCAACAAGAGAGAGCAAATAGGAGTGGAATAGTCGGGGGGAAGGGGGGGGGGATATTTTCCAGTGGAGGTCCATCACAGTCAGAAGGATCTGAGGAGAGAAGCAGGAGTGTGTCTGACAGGGTGACGGAGCCCCAGAGCCCTATGGGATATTTAGTCATCTGCACCACTGACAACCATGTGGTATTAGCTTTCACTAGACCCATAAATAATGGCTGCTGATGCTGTGTGTTATTGTCCCATGAAAAGTAATTATACTGAACAGGTGGTGCTTGGTTGATGCCACTAACTGGAGAGTTTTTGGCTGGACATGTACCACTATTACAGTAAAAAAAAAAAAAAAAAAAAAAAAAAAAAAAAA